AAATGTTTTATTATTAAACTTTGTTCTCCTGCAAGGCTTTTGCTTCACTGTATAAAAATAGCACCAGCAAACACAGTATATTACAAAATTAAGACAGTATTGTTCATCATCTGACACTGTAACAACTAACAAAAACTTTTCTCCATTGCCAGTTATTTCCAATGGAAACATTAAGTATTTTGACTCAAATCCAAAGATGGATGTAAGCAAGTAACAATATTATATAGGGCCTAAGGTAATAATGTTATCGCTGAATTACATGATTTTTATAACTAGATTTTACCACAAATAATTTCAGGAATTCTTAATATTGTAACTGTAGCCTAGCCTAAAAAAATCAGAGTGTTGTGAAGAAGGTGCATATTGTGTTTATCTGCAATCACTAGAAAATTAAGGGATATTTTCTTCCAGTAGCTTTGTTGTAGTTTCTTTTTCCATTGGTATTACTAAAAGTTGCTATTTTAAATCTTCTATCCACAGCTAACCTAAGATAACTAATTTAAAATATCTATGCTAGATTAAGCTGTTTCATACTACTTTATTCAGGGGGATTTCGTTTTCACTCCTCAATAGATTTTATGTATTTCTCATATGCTTCTTCACTCATTAGCTCCTCTAGTTCTGAAGGGTCACTCAGTGTCATCTTGAGCAGCCAATCGTCTTCATAACAAGACTTGTTGACAATTCCTGGGTTTTCTGCAAGAGCTTCATGAATTTCAGTTACTTCTCCTGATAGAGGAGAATAGAGTTCACTAGCAGCTTTCATGCTTTCCAAAGCACCAAACTTATCTTGTTTTTTCAATTTTGTCCCAACTTTAGGCAAACTACAGTAAACAACATCTCCCAGAGCTTCCTGTGCAAAATTGCTGATTCCCACTGTCCCGATACCATTTTCTGTTGTTATCCATTCATTCATGTTCCTCTGTGAATTTATGTACCGAGAGCAGATTGGGGCCTGTGCACAGCGACCCAACGGTGCCCACCCTCAGGCCCCGGGGCCATGGAGGACTGGGTGCGATGGTCGTCGAGGGGCTCGCAGGCTGCAGGCCATGGCGCCATGCTCGCAGGAGTGCCTGATCTGATACCTTAATGTATTATTTAATCTCACATTATGTGCCCCTGCAGTAGAATTGGAATATATTTCTTTTGACTTTAATATACAGAAATTTCTTCTTTTTAGTTTGTCTATTTTTTATATTGAATTTATTATGTATATTTAATTACGTACAAGTCCTTGTGATAGATTTTCCTAGTAAAAATACATATTAATATAAATGTTCACTAGTAACAAAAAATATAAATAACTACCTGTGAAATAGAGAAAATGAACATTATTATCAATCTGTTAAGAAACATTGTTTTCCTTGGTCTATGCCTCCATATCACTGCTGAAGTGTATGAAATGGTATTTGCTTAGGAAAAAAATGACTTAAAATTTAATCAAAGGTTAAATATTATCCAAAAGATTAAGTGAAGGAACATTTTACTTGACATTTTCAATTTGCAAAATTAAACATTAATACGACTTTTGGAGTAAGAAAAAAAACCAAAAACCTTCCCTTCAGTTTCCTTTCCTGAATCTTGATTTTCCATTTTCACCATACTTTGGGGCTTTTAAAAATTTATTCATTATCAAGCTCAAATATCAATATTTTCACCGATTTATGTGTCATGGCTAGTTGATCTGAGGATGTAATTTATGGTAGATTCAGGCCTTTGATTTAAAAAGACCAGCTAAAAAGCAGCCATACCATGCAAAATAGTCTAAAAATTGTTTTTCTGGTAACTCATTTTCTCCCAAATTTTGACATATTTGATTCTCCTCCTAGCTTTAAATAATTTGAGGGATCAAATTTGAAGGTTTGATGACAGTTTTGGTGTTTGTGATTAATATATGTCATGAATTTTGTGAGAATCATCTTTTGAGTTTTGGATACTCAAAAGCCCACTTATAAATTCTTATAGTTAATAAATAGATGTATAATCCTAAATGTACCTGAACCAGTCTTTGATGACTGGATGCCTCAGACATACATGTAACTTCTCTCCCCCTCTTCTTCTTCTCCAACCCCTACCCCAGAAGTGTGGAAGAACAGTGCAGACCTTTAAAGAATTAGATTATATTCCACAGGGCACATTGCAAAGCATGGCTAATTTTAAAATCCTCTTTAAACATCTTTCTCATTTTAAGGAAGTGTTGCAAAACACACATATTCTCTGTTATTCCTCTCGAAGACATGCACACATGCTTTCTCTTTCCTCTATTTTCCCGGCTGTGATACTTTGCATTCCTCTCTGGCCACATCTCCTTACCCATTTTTGTTCACCTTTCTAGGGCCCTTTTTTTTTTTCATATCTTTTCTCACAGATATCTTCTTCAATTTTTTCTTAGATAGAGCAATTTGGCATTCTTTGGGCCTCTCCTGCTCCCTGTCACTGCAGTAGAGCAGGGGTCTTATATATAGCTACACCAAGAGTTTGTGGAGCTGTACGTGAGGGTTGCAGATCTGGACATACCCCATTTAATGCAGTACAGGATGTCTTCCTGAAGAAAATCATGCTAACTGAATTCACACTGTAAAATATTATAAGATATCCCCTATGGAGATATGTTCCAGTAATGATTCTCAATTAATATACAGTTGAAGGTCTGTTCAGGGACATCTCTATTATCTCTGCAACACTTTATAATTGTCCTAATGGTGGGGGTGGCTATCCCTAAACCATGACCCCAAATGCATTTTATGCAGAGTCTCTCAAGCTGCCTTTTTTTAACCATTGAAATAATTCCATGTTTATTGTTACTTTGAAAAATAGTCATACACTTTGGCAGTAATCAAAAGACCTTCAAAAGAAAATGGGCTACTCAAATCAGAAAATATTATAGAAAAATAGATCCACACTTATATAGTAAATTGACTTTTAACAAATGGTTTAGAAACAACTGTATGTCCATATTTTTAAAAAATAAACCTTACCCCTTACCTCACTATAAACAAAGTTGACTTAAAATAAATCATAAATGTAAAATCTATAAGGATTCTAAAAGAAGATAATATAAGAGAATATTTTTATGCACTGGAGCTAGACAAAAACTTACTAGACAGCATATAGAAAGCAATAACCATAAAGGAAAAAATTGATAGACTTCATGAAAATTAAAAACTCTTGATTGTCGAAATAGAAATTATAAACCATAAACTAGCAGAAATATTTTTAATAAATATATTTGACTATATTTGTTATCTATAGCTGAGTAACAAATCCAAAGCTTAGTGGCTTAAAACAATAATAATCATTTCTTGTCTCATGCTTTCTGTGAATAAGGAATTTGGGAGCTAGATGGTTCTGGCTCAGGCTTTTTCATGTGGTTGCTGTCAGATTTCAGCTAGAATCTTAGTCATCCAGCCTGTCTGAGGGTGGAAAATTCATTGCTAAGGTATACACCCAAAAGAATTGAAAGCAGATAGTCAAACAAATACTTGTACGTGAATGTGCATCATAACACTATGTGGAAATAACCCAAATATCCTTCACTGGATCAATGAATAAACAAGTTATTTGGCAATAAAAAGGAATGAAGTACTAATTGATGCTACAATATGGATAAAAGAAAAATTAAGTTACTTGAAAGAAGCCACACCATATTGTATGGTTAAAATGGTGAATTTTATATCATGTGAATTTTGTCACAATCAAAAATAAACCTCAAAGGGAAAAATAAAGAAAGGCAAAGAGCTGTTCTGGATTAATGGAGGTTAAAGAGACATGACAGCTCAGTGCCCTTTACAATTGTGGATTGCACCCTGGACTGGGGGGAAAATGGCGATAAAGGAAATTACTGGAACAATTGACTAAATTTGAAAGTAGACTGTAGATTAGATAATAGTATGTATCAGTATTAAGCATCCTGGTTTTATTAAATTTATACTGTGGTATGTAAGAGAAAGTCTTTGTTCATAAGAAATATATACTGAAGTGTTTAAGTGTAAAAGGGCCTATGTCTTCAACTTTCAAAATAGTGCAAAAGAAAATATAATGATTAAAGCAAATAGGGTAATGTGTAAGCTATTGATGAATCTGAGTAAAAAGTGTACAAGAGTTCCTTATATGGACCTTTCCACTTTTCTAAGTTAAAATTATATCAAACTTAAAAGCCAGTAATAAAACTAGATTTGTCTTATTCTCTTCTGAGCAGCAGTATTGACCAGATAATTATTAGAAGAAATAGTGTTAGATATGCTCCTTTGGCTCAGCTGTCTCATTTTACTCTGTCCTTTAGACTTTTGTCTCTTTCTCAACTTTTGGATCCCAATGTATTATTTATTTTATTTGCTTATAGCATTTTCTCCATAAGATTATTACATAATTAATATGAAGTACTCAACTTCTGTACACATTTATTATTCTGGCTAGTGGTGGTATGCCCTTGGTAACCAGTTCTCATTTTGCGTATTTTTTCTTATTCACATGCTTTACTTTTGCAGTATCTTGAATAACATAAAAAAATGTAACCATTTGTTTCTTTTATCTTGAGATATTCAAATAGTACTTTCCCAGTGAAAGGTTTTGCTGCTTGTTCTTATCCAGTAGTTTGTTTGTTTGTTTGTCTGAAATTTGTGTTTAATCTCTTGGTAGAAAATCAAGTGTGCTATGAGATCTAACCTTAATTTGAACACATTGGACTAGTTTGTTTTGGGCGCAGAGAAGTAATCTCTAAATATTGTCAAGCAACACCATGCTTTCTGCGTACCACAGACAGTCAGAGAAACCCTTTCCTAAGTAGACTCTCCCATCGAAACCTCACACTGCTTTGTTGACATTCAACTATGGATTTTTACCTTTTCATGGTTACTGTTTCATATGAACAAACAAATATCCAATAAAGCCTATTTTGAATGGATTTACTAAGAAGATCATGATAAGTCACTTGGTACTTGTGTTTTCAATTGGCTAACCAGTTTTCTTTCCTTTGTGGTATATGATGGGATCTTCAATAGACAGAGGTAACCTGTTGGATAGTTGTGTACTGGATGCTGGTGTGGTGCTTGTTGGTTTAGTTCTCATGATACTCCTCCCAAGGTTATGTTTGCAATGCTGCTTATTATTTTGCATTTGCATGATGTTGTTACCTTGATTGCGCTTTGTTGGTATGGGTTCTCGAAACCTCCTGTTTCTTTTTGTGGTGCCCAGAATAATTCCCTGAATATCTTTGGTTGGCCCAGAACTTACAGAAATTAGTTTCAAGTCTAACTTTTTGGTGGATCCTTTTAAGTTTTTGGAAATATCTTCAGTGTCACCAATGAGTTTATAATTTGGCTATGAATTCAGAAAACAGGGTAGGTTTGCTTAAACACCTAGGAAGAGACCACTTGCCCGATAGGCCATTACTGAAGCTGATAAATAACTCTCTTTGTGAGCTTTATAGATTAAAGAAAAGGAATATATACTTAGAGTAAAAGCTAAGTTTTAGGAGAGTTTCATCAAATAGCTGAAATTTAGGAGCTTCCACCAAGGTAACAGTAAACATAATTAAACTATGCCTAAAGCTTGGCGTGCATCTCTGATCTACCATTATATTGGGTTGTCGGAAAAGTCATGACGTATTTTTTCTGTTTTTCATTGCAAAAATGCATCATGACTTTTCTGACAATGCAATATTTTAGAGTTTCTGTTTACTCTGCAAACTGTTCTACATTCCAAAACTAAGATTCTTGGGAGTCGTAAGTAAAAATTAAAATTAGTATTTCAGAAATTAATTTTCCAAACATTTGTGTGGATATTGGAAATAGTTACTTACCTCCTCATTTCTAATCACTAGTACACTAGTATAGTATTTTGGGCGATTAGAACTGACTTCATTTTAGTTTTTTCATTTGTTTCTTTTTTTCTACCTTACATATGTCTATAGAAGAAGGTAGATTGTTTTTAAAACTAAGAAACAAAACTAGACCTGAAGTGGACCTATATATGTTAAATGGCAGGAGTTCATAAAATTGAAGTTATTTTCCAATGTTCATATGAAGCCAGTGTTGAAACAAACAAAATCATCTTTTTTCTTATCATTTTAATCTCAAAAACTGTAAAGGATCCATTAATGGAATGGCCATCAGAGAAATGAGTATGATAAATACCATAGAACTGTCAGAGAAATGATGATTCATCTTTAACTATTTATGTTCTTATTCTATCTTCTTTTTATTTTTTGGTGGGACCCATACATTTAATAGAAAATTGCCCAGGAACGAGAAAAATTTGCTGATGAAGGCAGTATATTTTACACCCTTGGAGAATGTGGACTCATATCCTTTTCAGACTACATTTTCCTTACAACTGTTCTTTCTAGTAAGTATAAACTTTTCTTTATTCATTTATATGGACCATACAGAACTATAGAAAGAGTTAAATTGATTAGAAGAGGAAACAAAATGTTCGTAGTTAATTGATTATAAGTTACATAAAATTTCATTATTTTGAATTCTCTATAACTTATGTATAGAACTACCTGAGAAAGAAGAAAACTAAAGTAACAAGGTAAAGTTAAAAAAAAAAAAGCAACTATGAAGTTACATCTACCTTTAACTGTTTGAAGCTCTGTATCTGTCAAGATAAATTATATATTGCCTGTTCCTATATAGCCTTCTACTTCCCCCAAGAAAACACATATTGATCTATCGTTTCCTCCACTAAAGAAGAAAATTGGTTCAGTTGTTCTAATTGTGTTGAATATTCATTTTTGAATCTTGGAGAATTACCATTTAAGATACAAAAGTCAAATTTGACTCATGTAGAGTACTGACGAATTTCTGATTTTTTCAAGCTAGACAATTTTGTTGATTAGTATGCTACTCTAAGTGTTTATTTTATTTCCCTTTAGTGTGATGTTTTTAACTTTTGAGAAAAACAAAACAAAATGTATGTTTTTAGCTCTCTGTGTACACTCACTCTATTAAAATCCAACTAAATTGAACCAAAAAGATCTGATTTGTATATTTGAAAGAGGTGATTCTCAATTTTTTTCCATCTGGTACATCGCAAACAAAAATAACCATCTCTTTGTTTCCATCTCCAGGCTATTCATCTGTAAAGATAAAACTATAAAAACAGTTTTTAATCAATGACATACATTTCTTGCAATGGCTGTGACCTCTTTCACCCTTCTTCCCCCTGATTGACAGGAAAATGAAGAAATAGACTAATATACCCTGATTGACAGGAAAATGAAGAAATAGACTAATATACCTTACAGCTGTCTCTGGGGTACCAAAGTGTCTGAATAAATTCATGTGGTGGGCCAGTGCTCTAACACTGTAAAAGACATTTGTTATGAAGATCCAAAAATAGTAAATTAATTAAGCACATGCATAACTTAAGATTGCATAGTGTTAGAGTTAGTTATTTTGGTAGGGCATGGGTTTTCTAAACAGACTTCATCTCAAATCCTGGCCCCACCACTTCTTAGCTTTGTGATTAGGGGCAAGTCAGTGAACTTGTTCTTCTGTTTTATCTGTAATATGAAAAGGGAAATTATATCAAACCCAAATGATTTATTTGAGGATTAGAAGATCATGAATATAAATAATACCTAGTTTATTGCTTAGTATTTAGTAGGTATGCAATCTGGATTTTTATTCTTGATGTCCTGTCACAACATGTTATTTCATATCTATAGATTTTTAAAAATCTATAAGCCTTGTCATTTAAAAAACCCACCAGAATTTGTGGGGATTTTTAAAACTTTTTTGTGACTTTGGATAGAATTTACATTAAGCATAATGTGACAGAAAGAGTACTACATTAAATGAAAGACCAACTTCGAGAGCTGCACTGATACATAATATGCACTTTGGAAATAGTTCTGGTAAATATTTGTTGAGCTGAAATGAGATTTTAACTGTATCCACTGCTTAGTCCTATTACCTTCATTTCATCTTTCTAAGTGTCAGAAGGATCACAGAGTAGAACCTTCATAATACCTGGCACATTTTGTAACTCCCTTAATTCAACAATTTAAAAGCAGGTTAAAAAAAAAAGTCACATTGAATTTTGCGGGTCTGGAAACCCCTCCAAGTATCTCTGCTGGTTCTGGCACGTTTACTTCTTGGTGCTTAGCTCCTAGCTTAGACATGACGAATGATTTACAAGTGCTTAGTATCACAGTGTGTCATGTACTATCTGTTTTTGTCAGGGATGAGAAAATACAAGTATACGATTTGAAGATTTTTCTCTTTATCACTAGTTTAAAGCATTTTGACTACGATATGCCTTCAGTGTTTCTCAACCTTAGTACTATAGATGTTTCAGAAGAATACTTCATTGTTGTACAGCTGTCCTGTGCATTGTAGGATGTTTAGCAACACTCCTGGCCTCTAACCTCTGGAAGCTAGTAGCATATCCTCCCCCCTCTCTCTGATGTGACAACCAAAAATATCTTCAGGATTTGCCAAATGTTCCCCAGGGGTGGGGATGGGGAAGGATCATCCCTGGTAGAAAACCACTCACTAATATTGCGTGAGGCAGGTTGATTCTTTTGGTTTGGTTTGGTTTGGTTTGGTTTGGTTTGGTTTGGTTTGGTTTGGTTTGGTTTGTTTGTATTATTATGTGCCTTGATGTAGTGTTCATGTTTCTTGTCTTGGCATCCTTTGAACTTTGGGGATGTGTGTGTTTATAGTTTCCATCCAATTTGGAAAAATTTCAGCCATTATTTCTTCAAATACTTCTTTGCTTCTCCTTCCTCTCCTTTGGGGACTCCAATTACACATATATTTTCCTCACATCAACCCCATAGTGTTTGTACTATTATTGTCTTCATTATACAGATGAAGAAATTGAGGCATACAGAGGGTTACATATAAGTCCCTTAAGTCCCACAGTAAATAGGTGATTCAGGAGCACCTGGGCCCCTGTTGCTTGATTTTACTCCTGTGGTCACATTTTCAGCAGTGATAAACCATAACTTAGTATAGTGCCTCTTCTTCCTCTAAGGCTGGCCTGCAGAAAGGCTAGTCATAAACTTCTATAGATAATGGGCAGTTCAAGCATCCTTGCATTCTGAATGTTGCACACTGCATTGTTCACTTAATCTAACAAGCCAGAAGGGGAAATGTGCCACAGAAATTACACCAAGATCAGTTCTTTCCCATGTCTAAATTGCTTCTAGGACAATAGGAAATGGATGAACTCAGTGGATGAACTTCCTTGTGGTAACAAAGGATCATTACGGTCTAGATGCACTGAATAGTTCCCAAGTCATCCTACAAGAAAAGAGAATGCAATTGTTGAAACACCAAAAGCTTAGTGGCTTGGGACTAGGGGAAGTGCATTAGTGTACTCATTAACCTGTTTTTCTGGTGGAAACAGGGTCCATCCTTGAGATTTTCAATGGAAAACCAGCCAGAATAGTGTGAATGGCAGCCCAGATAATGCAGGACTGTCGTATTTCTGATTAGCCTTTTTTTTCCCAAAATTAATGGACTCTGGTGTTCAAGAGATTGCCATCATTTCGAGAATATGAACCCTCTGCCAAAATGGATTGACAGTTGGAACTTCAAAGCACTTTTGAAACTATACTATGTTGTCTAAAATAAAATTTGACAATAGTATATAATAAATCATTCATTTCCTTTCTCAATTTATAATTACCTCTCCTCAAAATAAAATAAAGCTGCTTTATAACTTCTCCCATTAAATAGAGTTAATTCTTCTTCTTTAAACTTTTTAGAAGTTTGATTTTTAGCTAAACAAGTATTTCTTGGACATACATCCAGAATAACAACAAATTTGGCAATAATATCCTGTGCTTATAATAAGCAGCGACCTCAATTTCTTAGTCTTCTCTATATAGCTTTGAATATGAAGGCCATCTTTGGCCAACCTAAAATTTTGAACTTTCTCTCTCTCCCTCTCTCCCTCTCCCTCTCTCTCTCTCTCTCTCTCTCTCTCTCTCTCTCTCTCTCTCTCTCTNATAACAATAGCAAAATTATAGTTATAGAGTAGCAACGAAAATAATTTTATGGTTGGGGGTCACCACAACATGAGGAACTGTATTAAGGGGTCGTGGCATTAGGAAGGTTGAGAATCGCTGCCCTAGAAAGTTACATAATTAACTTGTCTTTCTGTGCCATTTACCTGAGTATGAATCCATGAGAGAGAGGGTACTGGATGCCTCCCGTTAAGAAAAGCAATGAGGGCCGGCCCAGTGGCGTGTTGGTTAAGAGTTTGCTTTGGAGAGCGAGCTCTGAGCAGCAGAGCCCTGGTTCAGATCTCACACATAAGGGCCAGTGACACTGCCCTCTACAGCTAAGATGGTGAACAGCGGCTCGACCTGGAGCTGGGCTGCCCTGAGTCGCTGGCGACGGTGTAGGCTGCAGTGAAGCTGCAGTGGGCTGCTGTAAGCTACCATGTGTGTCTGGCAGCTGGCGTGAGCTGCCATGAGCTACCATGAGTGGCCATCCAATGGCCGGTGACCGATCTGCCTCAGCCAGGAAGAGTGCAATGATCACAATACCAACATGAGACAATGATGTGACGTCCTCCACAGCTAGACTGAAGAACAAAAAGGACAGCAACTTGTCTGTTCCCCTTCCCCGATTCCCCAATGCTGTTCCCCTCCCTCAAATCCCCAATAAAATCTTTAAAAAAAAAATGAAAGAAAAGCAATGATACAAGAGGGAAGAGGAATAATTAGGAAAATGCTGTGGAACATTTTGTTGATTATTTTTGTTTCCCAGTTTATAAATATCTTACATATTTATTTTATAACTGAACATGTTGTTAGTAGTAGTAGTAGTTCTGAGTTTTTTGTTTTCTTGGAGTTTTTTGGAAGATGTTTATATAATCTTCAAATAATGATAATTTTTTTCTCATTTCTAACTTGTATGTTTTATTTTATTATATTTTTGCTTTAGTGGGAACTTTCAGAATAGTGGGCATCCCCTTTTGTTAATTATGTTAAAATAAATGTCTGACATTTTTCGGTAACGTATATTGTGAATCTTGGTTTCAGATAAACATTATTTACCATGTTGAATAAGTTTCTCTTCCATTTCTCAAGGGGAAAAAGAATAGGAAAAGTTTTTTAATTTTGTCAAATGCTTTTTCAGCATCTAGCCTGATGATCAAGGTGATTTTTTTCCTTTGACATAGTTTTATTGCATTGTAGTCATTAAAATGCTGCGTTAGAAATTTTTTCTTTTACTTGTGTTTGTTTTTTGTATGTTTGTGTGTGTATATGTGTGTGTGTGGGGGGGGTGATGTATAATCAGTCGTTCAAAATTCTCTTGAGCACTTAAAAAATAAATGTTTACCAGGAAGCAATGTTTGAACCTGTGGTTTGTATTATATAA